CCATTCCCGGGCCACATTTTGAATGTCCGGAGCCAACTGTAGGCCACTTCGTGGTCTTCGACTTCCCAGAACTCCATTCCCGGGCCGCATTTTGGATGCCCGGAGCCAAGTGTAGGCCACTTCGTGGTCTTCGAGTTCCCAGAACTCCATTCCCGGGCCACATTTTGGATGCCCGGAGCCAACTGTAGGCCACTTCGTGGTCTTCGAGTTCCCAGAACTCCATTCCTGGGCATGATTTTGAATGCCCGGAGCCAACTGTAGGCCACTTCGTGTTCTTCGAGTTCCCAGAACTCATTCCCGGGCCACATTTTGAATGCTGAGGCAGGCTGATGCTGAGGCTGAGGCAGGCTGAGGCAGGCTGAGCTGAGGCCGAGGCTGAAGGCAGACTGAGGTGAGGCTGAAGCAGACTGAGGCTGAGGCTGAGGCAGGCTGAGGCTGAGGCTGAGGCAGGCTGATGCTGAGGCAGGCTGAGGCTGAGGCTGAGGCTGATGCAGGCTGAGGCTGAGGCAGGCTGAGGCTGAGGCTGAGGCTGAGGCTGAGGCTGAAGGCAGACTGAGGCTGAGGCTGAAGCAGGCTGAGGCTGAGGCTGAGGCAGGCTGAGGCTGAGGCTGAGGCAGGCTGAGGCTGAGGCTGTGACTGAGGCTGCTGCCGTTGCCGCTGCGACTGTCATCGCGAATGCGACTACGACTGCGAGAACAGCAGAATTCTACAACTGGATTCTCATCTGAATCTTAAGGGGAATGCTTCCAGATATGCTCCTACACATCGCTGTTAGGTTGCTTTGCCGGGATAATTTTAATGTGGAGTCCCTGGAAGTCTCGACCGAGTTCCCAGGACTGGCTTTTCACCCTGAATCGTTTTTTGACGGCCCCGAGGCCTGGCGAGGGCCCCCAGAGACCGCCGTTCTCATTACCTAACAGCGAAGACTGATAGGTTTCTAGCGGTGTCAAAAGAGAGCAGCAGATGACTCCACAGGGGGGTCGGGGCGGGACCTGGGGCGGCTGCCGCGGAAGCCCAAATCGCCTGGGACATCCTCGCAAAATCGCTCTTGGCGCTGCTAGAACTCCATTCCCGGCGTACACTTTGGATGCCCGGAGCCAACTGTAGGCCACTTCGTGGTCTTCGAGTTCCCAGAACTCCATTCCCGGGCCACGTTTTGCATGCCCGGAGCCAAGTGTAGGCCACTTCGTGGTCTTCGACTTCCCAGAACTCCATTCCTGGGCCACATTTTGAATGCCTGGAGCCAATTGTAGGCCACTTCGTGGTCTTCGACTTCCCAGAACTCCATTCCCGGGCCACATTTTGAATGCCCGGAGCCAACTGTAGGCCACTTCGTGCTTTTCGATTTCCCAGAACTCCATTCCCGGGCCACATTTTGAATGCCCGAGGCAGCCTGAGGCTGACTGATGGCTGAGGCAGGCTGAGGCTGAGGCAGGCCTGAGCTGAGGCTGAGGGCGGAGGCTGAGCTGAGGCTGAGGCTGAGGCTGAGCAGGCTGAGGCTGAGGCCGAGGCTGAAGGCAGACTGAGGCTGAGGCAGACGCTGAGGCAGGCTGAGGCTGAGGCTGAGGCTGAGGCTGAGGCTGAGGCTGAGGCTGAGGCTGAGGCTGAGTAAGGCTGAGGCTGAGGCTGAAGGCAGGCTGAGGCTGAGGCTGAGGCTGAGGCAGGCTGAGGCTGAGGCTGAGGCAGGCTGATGCTGAGGCAGCCTGAGGCTGAGGCTGAGGCTGAGGCTGAGGCTGAGGCTGAGGCAGGCTGAGGCAGACGCTGAGGCAGGCTGAGGCAGACGCTGAGGCTGATGCAGGCTGAGGCTGAGGCAGGCTGAGGCTGAGGCTGAGGCTGAGGCTGAAGGCAGACTGAGGCTGAGGCTGAAGCAGGCTGAGGTTGAGGCTGAGGCTGAGGCAGGCTGAGGCTGAGAGTGAGGCAGGCTGATACTGAGGCAGGCTGAGGCTGAGGCTGTGATTGCGAATGCCGTTGCCACTGCGACTGTCATCGCGAATGCGACTGCGACTGTGAGAACAGCAGAATTCTACAACTGGATTATGATCTGAATATTAAGGAGAATGCTTCCAGATATGCTTCTACACATCGCTGTTAGGTTGCTTTGCCGGGATAATTTTTGTCCATGCGCTGGATCTCTGGGATCATCGAAGCCGGAGATCATCGATGCCTGGTGGGGGCGCCCCGCCAGACAGCACAAAGGCGCGGCGACCGCCGCCGGGGCAGCGAGGCGCGCTTCGAGGCGCGGGCGGGCGCGGCGCGGCAGGCTCGGGGCACGCCCGCGGGACACGCAGGCAGCCTCGCGGCCCGCCGGCGGAGGCGGCGCGTGCGGCTCTGCGCCACGGCGCGGGGCGCTCGGACCAGACCTCCTCCCTCCCTCCTCTTCCCTCCTCCTCCTCCTCCTCCTCCTCCTCCTCCTCCTCCTCCTCCTCCTCCTCCTCCTCCTCCTCCTCGGGACGTCGTCCTGGGGGAAAGTCGTCCTCCTCCTCCTCCTCTCCTCCCTCCTCCCTCCTCCGTCTCCCTCCTCCTCCTCCTCCTCCTCCTCCTCCTCCTCCCTCCTCCTCCCCTCCTCCTCCTCCGCCCTCCTCCTCCTCCTCCTCCTCCTCCTCCTCCTCCCTCTCTCCTCCTCCTCCTCCTCCTCACGTCCTCCGTCTCCCTCCTCCCCTCCTCCTCCTCCTCCTCCTCCCCCCTCCCACCTCCTCCTCCTTCTCCCTCCTCCTCCTCCTCCTCCTCCACCTCCAGCACGTCTCGAGAAACCCAGAGACCCTGGGATCCTAGCATGGCCATTTTCTCACAACGGGCGTTTTCGCTCGAGTTCGGGCCCCAGGGCCCTTGCAGATCGATCCGGCTCGAAGAATCACGCAGAAAGATGGGGTCGGGGCTCCAGTCGTGATTTTCTGCGATGTCGCGATTTTTTGGCAACGGCGGCTCTCAGGGGATCCAACGCATTGAAAAAAAACAAGACGGAGGCTTTTCGCCATCTTCGGCCTCTGGGGGCCCTCGCCGGGCCCCGGGGCCGTCCGAGAACGATGCAGGATGAAAAACCGGTCCCCTGGGGAAGCGGTCGAGATTTCCTGGGACCCTGCATGGAAGACATCACGACATCGGATCTCTGGAAATTCGGAACAGAGGTTCTTCGCAGTTTTCGGCCTCGGGGGACGCGGTGTGGACGGCCTTCCTTCTCCTTGCCCCTCGCCCGCCAAGCGCCGCTTCCCCTCCATTCGCAGCGGACGCGTCCCGCCCACTGGAGCGTGTTTTTATCGCTTGGCAATAATTGGCATTGTAGCCCCCGGCCCCCCCTCCCCCCCCTACAACGTAACGCCCCTCCCCCCCCCAGTGCGCTCCAGGCACTGCCGCCACGCGCATCGGGCACACGGCGGGGGGGAGGCGTTGCATGATACCCCCCCCGCCCCCCTCCCCCCCCCTTCTAATGCCCATTGTCGCCGAAAAAAAAAAGAAACGCCTGGCCCGCCGCAGGCCAATCAGTGCGCGGCGTGGGGGTCCAGGGCCGAGGATTAAATCGGGCGTGTCCCTCTACAGGAAGACAATGTTTAAAAAGTAGTCAGGGGACGATGCTTCTATTATTCTGACTATTCGTGAGCATTTCTGGATCTAAGTGGGGTCCTTGTTTTCTCTGGACACCCCGCGCAGGAGCAGGAATACCCCCTCCCTTCTCACTCGCACGCTCACACTCACATCATCGTCATCATCATCATCATCAGCAGCAGCATCATCAGCATCGTCAGCATCAGCATCATCAGCATCATCATCAGCATCATCAGCATCAGCATCATCATCATCATCATCATCATCATCATCATCATTATCATCATCATCATCATCATCATCAGCATCATCACTTACACACTTGCACGCACTCGTTCTCCAACTCACGCACTCACTCACCACTACTGCTCATCACTCATCATCATCATCATCATCATCATCATCATCATCATCATCATCATCATCATCACCATCATCAGCATTATCACAACACCATCGTCAACAGAGCCTCCTCTGTGAGTGAATTGCGAGGAAGTCTCGCGCGGGAGCCCCCTCCCTATGGGGCCCGCCGCTCATGTTTTTAATCCGAGCGGGTCATCGGAATCCTGTAACTGTCTTCCTAAGTTAGCTTCCCTTCCAAAGGGTTACGGGTCTTTTTTTGGTTACTAAGTTTGGTTGACGCACGAGTCGCGTCATCAGCCGCGCTCTGGTGCGCAGTTGTGTGCCCCATGGGGCCGGGCCGATGTTACTCGCCGTCTGTGTTGGTGCTCCGTCGAGGGAAGGCGGCGGGCGCTCGGGTGTAAGGATGGCCGGCCAATCCCCCTTTTTGGAGATGTTTGAGCTTCTGGGGTCATCGTCGTCTTCGTCGTCGTCGTCGACCGCCTCGGCGTCCTCGCCATCCTCCTCCTGTCCCTTCTCCTCATCCTCCTCCTGACGCGGGCTGAGGGCGAGAACCCCATCATGTCCGCCTGATTCCGCCCGCTTGCACGTCGACTCCGGTCACTTCTCCACTGGTCGGGCGTGTGCGTGTGTGTCCTCTTTTCTCCTCCTCCTCCTCCTCCTTTCTCCTCCTCCTTTCTCCTCCTGTCTGATTGTCTCCAAGCTTTCGGGTCGAATGAGGGCGAAGCCCGAGAGCTTAGAGAGTCTTTCCGTCTGCCGATCGATCCTGCGGAGGATGACGATCTTCTCTCCCTTGGGAGGGTCCCGTCGCTGGCCCGTAGGGGGTCAGTCCCAACCACCCGCAGTTGCGAACAGGTCCTCTCCGATGGACCCCTCCTAGGGACTGTGGACGAGCCTCTCTCTCTTTCTCTTTCCCCTTCTGGGCATGCAATCCTCCTCCTCCTCCTCCTCCTCCTCCTCCTCCTCCTCCTCTTTCTCCTCCTCTTCCTCCTCCTCCACCTCCTCCTCCTCCTCCTCCTCCTCCTCCTCTTTCTCCTCCTCCTCCTCGTCCTCCTCCTCCTCCTCCTCTTCCCCCTTTCCTCCTCCTTTAGAGCGGCCTCAGGCTCGGCCACATTCTCACCGACCTCGAACAATCCAAGGACTTCCAGGCCAGGGAGGCCCCTCCCGCTGCCGAGGGTCCAGAGATGCTCCCTGCCCCCCCCCCGTCCGGTTTCTTCTTAGGGAGAGGGACAGGGAGGAGTAGGATGACAGGAAGGGAAGGGAAGGGGGATGAGCAGGAGAAGGAGGAGGAAGAGGAGGAAGAGGAGGAAGAAGGGAAGGGAACGGAAGGGAAGGGAAGGGAAGGGAAGGGGGATATGGAGGGCCATCTTGAGCCATCTGGAGGTACCTTGCGGTCATGGAGGCAATCTCGGGCTCTGTTGGCCCTCCAGGGGGCATCTTGTGCCGTCTTGGACGTCTCAACGCACTGCGATCCCCTCCTCCCCAAGACCCTGGGAGAGGGGCAGGGGGAGAAGTAAACCTCGAGCCTCCCCCGAAGGGAAAGAGGGAGGTTGTAACGACGAACTCCTTTAAAAACACCTACGCCTGGAGGGCTGGTGAGGTTCACAGTCTCTTCGTGTGTAAACTATCGGACGATGAGCTTGCGGGCAGCCTGCAATCTGTGCGAGGCAGAAAGCGCACCTGTCGCGTAGCCGAGGAGGGTCGCAGCGTCCTCGCTGACCCAGCGCAGGGGCGCCCCCGTCTGCCGGGTGCTCCACCGCTGCAGGAATTGCCGCTGTCATAGAGGGGTCCCGGGGCGTCCGTGTGTCTCTCCAGATGGTGCCCCGAGTGCATCTTTGCTGATCCATGTAAACGGCGGTCAGACATCACGTGGTGCCCGCATACACGTGCGTGTTTATGTCATTTGTCAGTCACGTACCACGGCGTATCATACGATGCCGTTCACTAAAGATCGTCTGAATCAAGCCAATGTGCGACACGCCCCGTCGTTTCGTCGCATATACTTCTAGGCAGCGGAGGAGGAGGAGGAGGAGGAGGAGGAGGAGGAGGAGGAGGAGCGTGTGTTCCTTCTTTCTTAGTTTCCTCGTTCCCCTGCTTCGTGGGGGATACACTTGTGAAAATTGTGTGTTGTCAGAAGGTGGCGTGCACACGTCTTGCGGGATCGCCCTGCCGATTCCCACGGGGAGGGTGGGGCCGATGCATGCTAGCTATTCTTCGGGCTGAGCGTCAAAGAAGACAACATGAAAGTGGCTTTTTGCACTTCTCTCTGGTTCGGCCGGTGTGGAGGCTGGGGGCGGCACGAAACACGATGGCCTGCGCCATGTGGCATTGTGGAGATGCTCCTGTCTTGTCCCCCAGCGTTTATCCCACTAAGTGGGATAGCGAGTGTGCAGCCAGACTGGAGGTATCAAACAATTTTTGAAGTGGTGGAGCAAGTGACGGGATCACTGGAAGATCGTCGCACGTACATGTCTCATATGCGCGTGCGCTCCCGTATTCCATAGCCGTTGTGGCTTAAGGGCCGTTGTTTCCAGCTCCCTCCACGTCCCACCCTGGAGCGGCACTTGGGCGGCATGGTGTGCGGGACGGCGAGTTAGCCCGCCTGGCGTTGGGCGAGGTGCTCCTCTGAGGTTCGCGGGCCGCCCAGGGGCCAAATGTGCCAAGTTCACTGGGCGGCACAGGGCCACTGTCGGTTACCATGGTGAGCTGGGAGTGCTCCGTTACCATGGTGGCTCTGGTTGCTTGTGCCCCTGTGACACTGGCGGCTGCCTCAGCCTGTTACCAGTGTGGGGATAGCGTCGACCCAATGTGGTGGCATTGGGCTACCTGGTGCGGTTGTCCCGCAGTGCCAGGTGACGCTGGTGGCGTCTTCCCCCACGCAGCGCCACGCTTACCATAGTAGCTTGGCGACGCCGTCGGCTTATCACTGTGCCTCCCCCTGTGCCTCCCTCTGCCCGTCTGCGTGATGTGTGACATGACGACTTGTGCGTCTTGCTTTTCTCTGTTGTTTCCTGCTTGCCGTCTGCTGTCTTCCCGACTGTTTCTCCATCATTTCGCGCGTGCGTTCTTGCTGTAGTATCGTGTGGCATTCGCAGCTTGTCCAGTGGTTTGCTGTCTCACGTCGTGAAGCCATTAAGTGATGGTCTCAACTCCAGGAGAAGGAACATACTTCAGGAGGAGACAGAGGAAAAGGAGGAGGCAGAGCAGGAGGAGGAGGAGGAGGAAGAAGAGGAGGACGACGAGGAGGACCGCCTCCGCCCTGCACCTCGCCCAGATGCTTGAGCTGTGGGAGTCCCAGGCGGCGTACGCCAAGGTGCCCAGCCTGCGCCTGACGCAGAGCCTGGTGCACTGGCAGGGTGACTGCCTCGTCGCGATGGCGGAGGCTGGGCGGGCCTGGCCACGGGAGAGGCCTCTGTTGGAGGGTGAAAGTGGGGGTCAGGCGCAGGGTCCCCGCAATGGTGTCTTCATGGGCGATGAATGGGCGATACATGTTCGATTGCTGTGTTCGGCGGGGGTGCCAATTGAAGCTCCCCGCCTGCACCCATGCGCGAGACTTGGGGGGAAACGAAGCAATGGGGCGGGGGTCTCGGGAAAGGCGACGAAGGCAACGTGCGCTGAGGGCGCAAAAAGAAAAGGTTGAAATAAACGAAAGCGGTGAGGTGAGTGTCTGCCCAGCCAATCTGACATGCGGAACACTGCGCCTCAGTCTTGGGGATCGTGAAGGCCAGGGCAAAATGTGAATTCATATTGTGGGAAAAGAAAAATGTGAATTCACATCTGAGGAAAAAGGAAGATGTGAATTCATATTTTAGGAAGAAGGGAAATGTGAATCTACATTTTGGATTGTTGTGTAGGAATCTTTGTGAAGGGGCCAGAATGTGAATTCAAATTTTGGGAGAAAGGAATATGTGAATTCACTATTTGGGGAGAAGGAACATGTGAATTCACATTTTGGGAGAACCGCGGGGCACATTCCAAATCTGTTGCGGGGGTCGATAAGTCATCGTTTGGGAACATACGTGATCAGCAATCGCACAATCAAGACACATTTGCACTCCACTCGCCGCCCCGCGCGCAATATGCAAGAACGCCCGCACGCATGAACGATAATGGATGGACGGCGCGCGTGCCCGTGCGGGCAACGCGCGGGCACGAACGACTGGCCCTCCATGACCGCCAACACTGGATGCCAATCGTACCCGATCACATACATGAGCGATACATTGAGCATACATGGGCCATTCAGCCCCCATTGAAGACCCCCCGTGGCAGACCCCCTCTGTCACCCTCCAACTCTGACCCTCCCAGCCCTGCACCCCGCCCCCCCAGGTCTCCTCCTCCAGCCCCCTCCTTCTCCCCCCTCCCCCCCCTTCGTCCTCGTGCTCCTTCCTCGTCGGCAATCCCCCTCCCCTCCTCCCTCCAAGGGTACCGCCGCCGCTCTCCTCCAGCTCTTCTCTTTCCGCGGAGCGAAGGGCAAGAGGCGCGTTTACGTCGACGTCACCCTCCCTCGATCCCTCCTCCCCCTCCGCCCCGACCTCGCCCCCCGCGGCCCGGTTCCCCGGGCGCCCTGTCTTTTTCCCGCACCCTCTCCTCTCGTTCCGCCTTCCTCCTCGTGCTCCTGCCCCTCGGCGCTCTTCCCTTCCCCCCCCCTCTTCTCCTCCCCATCTCGTCCTCTTCCCTTCCCCCCCTCGCGCTCGAGCAGCGGACACTGGTGGCGGGCAGAGTGGGCCTCTCCCCCCTTCGCTTCCTTCTGGCCGTCCACCCCTTCTCTGTTCCCCTCGCTCCGCCCCCCTCCAGCCCCTCCCCGCCACGCCTCGTCGTGAGCGCGTGCGGCGTGCGGGCACAGCAGCCTCGCTTGCCCCAGCGTCCGACGCTGGCTGGCGCCGAGCGGGTGCAACGGCAGTGGCGGCTCGTGCGCGCGCGGCGCCGCATGCACACTGGTCGCACCTTGCGGGGCGAGCGTCGCCACCGTCATCGCCGCCACCACCATCACAATCCCAATTTCCGAAGAAGGAAAAACGCCATAAACATAAACTTTTGGCGCTCCGCGCGGGTTTCTTGGATCCGCGCTGGGGCCCCCTGGCGGCGCCTCGGGCGCCGCCGCTGGCGCGCTCCGCGCGCCAGGGAGGGGGGTCCGGCGCAGATCCAAGGAGCCCGCACGGAGCGCCCCAAAAGTTTATCTATGTGGCGTTGTTGTTCCGTCTTCTACGTTGGATTCACTGTCCCAGCTGTGGAGGAAGCTGATTTGCCACGATGCTCATCCTCGTGCTGCTCGTCCGCCTCATCCCTGCGCCCCGAAGTGGGAATTGCGGGCAGGGGAGGGACAGCCTGAACCACCCATGCGAGCGGAGTTCGTGGAGTTCGGCCGAATACAAGACGAGCTGGCTGCCAGCGGCAGAGAGCCCTCGCCTCCGCCGAGACTGGTCCGGGGGGGTATGCCGACTCGAGCACTGATAGGAGCGCAGAAGGCAGTGAGGAGGAGGAGGGGGAGGAGGAGGAGGAGGAGGAGGAGGAGGAGGAGGAGGAGGAGGAGGAGGAGGAGCGGGAGGCAGAGGATGAGGACCACGAGCAAAAGTAAATGTGATAGGGAGGGGAAGTGGTGGTGGTTTCAGGTTTTCCTGACACAGGCGTGTCATGCCACGTGATTTGGTGCGTCGTGGTGTACGTATGTGGTACTAATGATCTAACGGCCTTCGGTCTGCCACTGTACCAGGGTTGCGGGGATGAAGCCTACTGGATGTTCGGTGCGTTCTCGTGGGAGGCCTCTCGGCGGCCGCTTGGAGGCAGTTTGGAGGCCTCTTGGGGACCGGTTGGGGGCCTCTTGGGCCTTCTTTTGGGCCCCTCGGGCCTCTTGGGGTCTCTTGGGGACCTCTTGGGGGCCTCTTGGGGCCTCCTGGGCGCCTCTTGAGGCCTCCTAGGTGCCTCTTGGGGCGGCAGGCCTGGGTTTTTGGTCGTCGCAACCGGCTTCGTTGTCAGAGGGGGCGTGCGGAGATTGTGCTCGCTGCTCAAGGAGGAAGAGAAGGAGAAGGGAAGCGCTCTGCCGTAGCAGATCCCTATAGATCTGCGCGCTCTGCTGTAGCAGATCCCAATATGTATCTGATATCCTAGCTGTCCTTGGCTATTCTTTAGCATTCCCATACGGTGCTGGCGAGAACCGTGACGTTTCCATGGGGGGGGGTAGGGGGCGGGGCGGCCCGTAACGGCCGTTATCACGAACAAAAAATAAGCTGTCCTGGGAGACTGCGAAAACTGCGCACTTGTCGCCACTTTCGTGGGCTCCTGGGAGGTCCAGCGGAGCTGGGGGCCACGCTGATCCATTTGTGACCTGGCTGTTCCTTGGGTGGTTGCGAACTGCGCACTCGTCGCCATTTTCGTGAGCTCCTGGGAGGTCCAGCGGAGTGGGCCACGCGGATCCATTTGAAATCTCGTTGCTCCTTGGGTTGCTGCGAACTGCGCAATCGCCGCCACTTTCGTGAGTTCCTGGGAGGTCCAACGGAGTCGGGGGCCACGCGGATCCATTTGAGACATCGTTGCTCTTTGGGTGGCCGCGAACTACGCATTTGTCGCCACTTTCGTAGGCTCCTGGGAGGTCCAGCGGATTGGGGGGGCACGCGGATCCATTTGAGACATCGTTGTTCTTTGGGTGGCCGCGAACTGCGCATCTGTCGCCACTTTCGTGGGCTCCTGGGAGGCACGGCGGAGGTGAGGGCACTGCAGATCCATTTGAGACCTCGCGGCTCCCGGGGGCTGCGAAGTGCGCTTTTTTCGCCATTTTTGTGGGTTCCTGGGAGGCGGCACGACGGAGACGAGGGCAGTTCAGATTATGCATATCTGGCGATGTGTTCTTTTGCATGGAGCGTTCATACGAATTGGGCTCGGGTCATTACATATCGTGTAATTGCTTTGCTTCCGCAGAAACTGGGCCTATTGGGTTAAGTATTCGGCGAAGTTCTTTCCTTCCATATGGGCACCCATTGGAGTCGCACGGTTGCAAGGTGTACGGCCTGCCCTTTTACGGGGACCGCACGCATGCAGACAGCGAACAGTCGGGCAGACTGCAACGGGAGGGCAATGAACATGGGGGGATCGAGAATTGCAGGAAAGTGCCCCTAAAGAAGCCCTAAGCAGCCCCGAACTGGCCCCGCGGGCCTGAAATGGGCCGAAACGGTGCCCGAAAAACGCACGTGTCTTCACCCCACGTGTTTTGCTTCCCCCCCCGGGTTAACGAGCACCCGAAACGGTGAGCATCAAATGAAGCTCGCAATAGCTACGGCGGGCGAAGTTGTCGCTCCCTTCGAGGCCGCACTTGCATTGCGTCATCCTGCCCGGCGAGTGTTTGTGACGATTGCCACGAGGATTGTGATGATGGGGAGGAGGACGACGTTAATGGTGACGATGGTGGTGAGTTTGGTGATGACGAGGATTGTGGTGACGATTTTTTGCGACGGTGATGATGCTGAGGAGGAGGAGGAGGAGGAGGAGGAGGAGGAGGAGGAGGAGGAGGAGGAGGAGAGCAGATGGGAGGCGTGGGCAGGACATCGCCGCCGAGCTGCCTTTCGCCGAGAAGAAGTTGTCGGGCAAATTCTTGGTGGCTTGCGAGGAGGGGGAAGAGGAGGAGGAGGACGAGTGACGAGGGGACGAAGGTACTAGCTTTCCTTCCCCCCCATAGCCATACTGGCTAGAGGGACGTTCCGCGCATCGTCTGCATGGTGTTTGTGCATAGCGGGCAAAGCCGAGCAATGAGCGTTTCCAGCGCCAGGGCCTTGCTGGGAGCCTCGCCGCAAGGGCGGCCCGATGGTCGGCATGGGCCAGGCTCACAGCTGGGCTCTCAGATCAGCGATCCGCTCTGCCAAGGCGTCGTCGACGTGCGGCCGCGGATCCGCGCAAGCAGGTGTAGCCTCCGCGGCCCTCGGGGCGGCCTCGGATGAGCGAAGCGGGCAGAACCGGCCGCGTCGGACCAGATGTAGGGCTCAGCGGTTAGAAATAAGAGAAGGCGAGCGGCATCAGCAAGGGATGCGAAGACAAACGGGAGGCTCGAAGCGCTCGAAGGAGAAGCACTGCGAGAGCTCACAGCAAGGACCGATCGCGTTCTTTTGCGCCTTCCCGCATGCTGATCCGACCCGTCACGGCAGGCCTTTTGCCGCACAGCCAGTCAAAGGCGCGTCGTTGGCGGAGAAATTTCCAGAGAAATGTGCATAGGGATCCTAAAACGGCACCGGTGATCATCTCCAGCACGAGTGCCACATATGTCCGACGTATGGGTTGGGGAATTCGAAGCTTGCGTTTTCTTTACATTTTTGGATGATCTTGCCATTGCCGATGTAGAGATCAAGAAGGTGTTGAAAGATGTGGGGTGCGAGGACGATGGCACGAAGAAGGTCAGCACGAAGGACAGCAACGTGAGGGACAATACCAAATATCCCTTCGTGGAAACGACACATGAACACACAACCCCCGTAAACCTCGATTTCGACGATGTGTTCGACGAGATAGGTGAAACCAGCACGACGAAACATGAATGGAACGCGAAAGAGAAGGAATTTGTGAAGTCCAAGTATACCGTCGATGCGGACTGGACTTCTGATTATGAATGGTTCCAGCAATATGGCAGCATATCGGCGGCCCAAACCGACAATGTCGCGAGCAAGCTCAATTACACCACGAGCACCCGAGTAGCCCCCCCCCCCGCCGTCGCCTTCGTGGCGCGCGCCTGCGCGCTCCGCACACGGACGCGGCTTCGGCGCTCTCGTCTCGTCTCGTCTCCCCATCTTTCCTCCAGGCCTCGGAAGAAAATGGCGAACATTCATGGCACATTCATCATGCACCCCCTCCATGATCAACGTTGGCGGTGAGTCGAATGAGGTTGCACTTCGACCGCAGCCTTCCCCGCGCGTGCCAATTTTGAGTTTGTGAGGAGAGGGGGAGTGTCCCCGGAGTCGCACGGGGTGGCAGGGCCTGGAAACTCGGAGGAGGAAAAGGTGCCGATACCGCCCGCTACCCTTCCCTCGTTTTCCCCTTTTTGGACCTCCCCGGCGGCCCACGTCGCCACCGCTGGATTCGCCTCGAAATTCTCGTCAGAACGCACCCTGGAAGAGGTCTGGGAAGTAGCGGTATTTGTACCTGTTGGTTTTCCCAGAAACGCTTCAGTGTACCCACTACCCGGTATACTACCCCGTGTGTCGGGTGGAGAACGCTGTTCTCCTGCAGGTGTTTACAGAGGAACTGAGCCTAGCCGCGGATCAGCGGTATCTATATGTATCTATGCTCTGCCACGGGCAAACATCATCTTCAGCCAACATGGTTACGGAAAAACGGGGAAGAGGAGGTTGAGGAGGAGGTTGAGGAGGAGGAGGAGGTGGACGAGCAAGCTGGTAGGGTTATAAAGTGGAGGTGGAGGTGGGGGGGGGGGAAGAGGAGGGCTGGGACGATCTATGGCCCCCCATGCGTGCCCGAGGCGGAGTACACTCGCTTGATGAATGACCACTCCACGCACGTGCAAGCGGGCTGCGAGTACGGGCGGGGCGTGGGTTAATTTTTGTCATTCGTCATCTTCGAGCCCACATGTCAATGCTTGAAAGGATGAGAGCGGAGGAGCGGGGCGGAACGGGAGGAATATGCGGGGTTTGTGGTGATGGAGGTGGTGCAGGTGGAGGAGGCGCCGGAGGTGGAGGAGGAGGAAGAGGAGGAGGAGGACGACGACGAAGAGGAGTTGGGTGAAGAACACAAAGAGAATAACAAAAGGGAGGGGGATGTTCAGAAACCTTGATATCGTGTGCAGCAGGATATCCTGGTGGGGATCCTGATGAGGAATACGAGGGGGACCAGAAGAAGGAGGGTGAAATTATGAACGGGAGGCGGATGCAGGCAGCAAGAGGAAGGACGTGGAGGTGTGAATCGACAGGAGGGTGCGATTGAGGAGAAGCAGGAAGAGGTACGAAGGGAGTACGAGGTAGAAGCAGTAGCAGCAACAGTAGTAGTAGTAGTAGTAGTAGTAGTAGTAGTAGTCGTCGTCGTCGTCGTCGTAGTCGTCGTCGTTGTCGTTGTCGTTGTCGTTGTCATCGTCGTCGTCAGAGGCGCAGTCGTAGTAGCAGCAGCAGCAGCAGCAGCAGCAGCAGTAGTAGTAGTAGTAGTAGTAGTTGTTGTAGTAGTAGTCGTAGTCGTAGTCGTCGTAGTCGTAGACGTAGACGTAGTCGTAGTAGTAGTAGTCGTAGTAGTATTAGTAGTAGTAGTAGTAGTAGTATTAGTAGTAGTAGTAGTAGAGAAGATGTAGAAGTAGCAGTAGTAGTAGTAGTATAGTAGTAGTTAGTAAGTAGTAAGTAGGTAAGTAGTATAGTAAGTAGTAAGTAGTAAGAGTAGTAGTCTAGTATAGTATAGTAGTAGAAAAATAAAATCAACACCATTTTCCTTTTATAAAAAAAAAAAAAAAAAAAAAAAAAATAGTAGTAGCATGCAGTGATGATAGAAGAGTAGTAGTAGTCAGTAGAGTCAGAGAGTAAGTTAGTAGTTAGAGTAAAGGTAGAGTAGAGTAGTAGTTAGTAGTTAGTAGTAGTAGTTAGAGTAGTAGTATAGTAGTAGTCGTAGTAGTCGTAGTAGTAGTAGTAGTAGTAGTAAGGAGTAGTAGAGTATAGTAGTAGTAGTAGTGTAGTAGTTGTATAGTGATAATGTAGTCGTAGTAGTAGTAGTAGTAGTGAGTAGTAGTCAGTAGTAGTAGTGTTCCTCGTCCTCGCCTCGTCCTTTGTCGTAAGTAGTATGTAGTAGTAGTAGTTAGTAGTAGTAGTAGTAGTCGTAGTCGTAGTCGTAGTTAGTTTTAGTTGTAGTAGTAGTAGTAGTAGTAGTAGTATAGTAGTAGTAGTCGTCGTAGTAGTAGTAGTAGTAGTAGTAGAAATAGTCGTAGTCGTAGTAGTAGTAGTAGTAGTAGTAGCAGTAGTAGTAGTAGCAGTAGCAGTAGCAGCAGGGGAAGCCGTAGAGTAGCAGTAGTAGTAGTAGTAGTAGTAGTAGTAGTAGTAGTAGTAGTAGTAGCAGTAGTAGTAGTAGTAGTAGTAGTAGTAGTAGTAGTAGTAGTAGTAGTCGTAGAAGTAGAAGTAGAAGTAGACGTAGTAG